ATTCTGTTAAAGGCAAAACTCGACGAGTTCAAGGAGGCTTCGACGAGTTGATTGGAGAAGTCTTGATTCTGTAGAAAGGAGGAACTCAACGAGTTGTGAAAGAACTCGTCGAGTGGGATCGCGATTTCAGGGTTTATGATTCATTGAACTCGACAAGTTGATGGACCAACTCGGCGAGTTGAGTCAACCCAGGATGTTGACTTTGACTTTGACTTTGACTTTGACCAAGGTTGACCCGTGAAGGGGTGTTGAGTATAGAATGTTATCTAAGAGGTTGTTTTGTATAGGGTGTGAGTAGAGTCGGTTGCGGAGTAGGGAGTTTCAGCTATTCATGACATTAAGGTGAGTTTCCTTCAGTAGGAACGGGTCTAAGGCACCAAGGTCGGCTCGTATATGTGATATGATTAGTAGGTGAGTGTGGGCGGGGCCCATATCTCATAGATAGCTGATATGGTACAGATTTATATGTTTAGTTATACTTGTTGTTTGTGTGATACCTGTATGTATTTCCATGACTAGCTGAGTGAGGGCGGGGCCTGTATCTCCTAGTAGCTGAGTGTGGGCAGGGCCCGTATCTCATAGTAGCTGAGTGTGGGCGGGGCCCGTATCTCATAGTAGCTGAGTGTGGGTGGGGCCCATATCTCATTGAGTATGGGCGGGGCCCGTATCTCCTAGTTGCATGTTATGTGTATGGTATGTGGTAGTTTGGGGAGACCCACTAAGCTTCGTGCTTATAATTTTCAGTTTTGTTTCAGGTACTTCCGGTAGCAAGGGGAAGAGCTCGGGATGATTACAATGCACACACCATTTGTTTAGCCTGGGATGTTTACACTCTGATATGTTTGACAAATATTTATGATATTTTGAGATACATGACTTATGGTTTTTATATGATGTTTGGGTAACTATTATTTTATTAATGATTTAAAATGAAATTTCTGGACCGTATTTTTGGGATGTTACAGTTGGCCTCATGATACAAATATCATTAAGAAAATGGAGAAAATAAGTTGTTGATTTATTAAGGAATTAACAAATTAATAAGAAATTATTTTGGTAATTAATTATATAGTTTTAAATAGTAAATGGGTTGTATATTAATCAAATCACTGGGATTAATTAGAATATTCTAGAACCATCCAGAGAAATAAGGTGGACGAATTTCTTCTTATCCTAATAAGGATAAGGCAGGTTTTGAATAAGGTAAATATTATCCTTTAGGAGTTTGAATTGCTTAAGGATTAATTAGCTGCCTATAAAATAGCGAGTTAGGGATCAGACCCTAGATGTTTTTCCTTCACAAATTCTTTATCCCCTATCTCATCTCTTTCCATGGACGAAAATTATAACCCTTCTATAGGGTTATTGAATTTTCAACCTAACCCTAGTTAGGGTTTTTCCTTGTTATGCTTTTGGAGTCGTGGGTCTGACCACATTGGAAGAGTCGTGGGTCTGACCACATTGGAAGAGTCATAGGATGTATGTGTACTTAGGTAAATTTGTTGATTATTCCCATAGCTTTAAATAGTGATGCAATAATTCCCAACAGTTTTCGCATCGGTTTATCACTAATATACCGACGATTGAGTTTTGGACACGCTTATATGTGGATATTCATGCGAGCTAGTTGGAATGTGATGTAAGTTATATAATTATGTGATCATTAGGTACTACATTTATAATAACAATACTTACTTTATTACATACATGTGTTGATTGGCAACACATCATGATGTAGATCCCACTGTTAATAGAGCGTAGAACGGATGATGCCCGATGGACGTTTGTGCCAACAACCTTCAACATTGATGCATTTGACTGGAGTGACGTGGCTAACGAATCCATTTACCAGCTTGGTCTTAGTGTGATACGGTATAAATGTGTTTTGATTACAATACCTACCTAATAGTCATTTATAATATAATGTTATTTGTTGATTACTTAATTCCAATCTTTTGTGCAACTTTACATCCCTCTCAATATACCGATTACTCACTGGTTTTTGGGTGCTTGGGATTTCAAGACATTCAAAATTACTATATACGATAGTCACTATAAGAGCAACCATTTTTCAGAAAATGCATCTGGGTTTATAGTTATGCGAGTCCACATCCACAAAACTCCTACTGGGTATCAAGCAACGGGGGGGGGGGGGGGGGGGGGGGGGGGTACTAAACCCATTTGATGTAATCCTCATTGAGAGTTTCAAATTCACCTTTAAAAAGACCGCATGCGTAACACAACAATTTGACAGATGTTTGTAAGATGTTTTTGTGTTGGTTCATGGAGATGTTGATTGCGGATAAATCATATATGATAGAGGGTTCAACAGAAGAATGAGTCATATCATATCGCAAGCGATTAACGTAAATTTTTTGGGGCACATAGAAAAAATAGGGGTTCATTTGGACGTTGTAGTGTTATTTAAAACATATTTAACTTTATGTAATTATTACTTTTGTTAGATTTAAAAATTTTAAACACTATTATTTTTTGCAATAAATAAAACAAAAACATCAACACAAATTTTATATTTTGGAACACTTTTCCGGAATACGACTCCGGGATACGGGAGCTTGCTTCAAAATGTCCTATTCCGGACAAATTGATAATTTTACAAAAATTTATGAAGTTTAATTTTTTTTTTTTTATCAAAAAGATGAGTTAGATTACTCGATTTTTAGTGTAATACGACTAATCTCGGTTGTTCTAGTCTTCTAGAAAAACGGCATATATTTAAAAGTTCTTTTTAACACCCACCGGTAATTACTCCACCATATACCGGGAAGTCACACGCCAACAAAGTATTTCTCCGTCGTCTCTGCCGCCACCATCTATCACCGCTGCTATATCCACTGCCATGGCGATTGCGCCGGCGCACACACTAAATCTATGTGGCGTTCTCTCAGAATCGAAGCGTATTGTAAACGCTCACTCACGCCACTTCCTCGCCTTATCAGTCCTCTTTCTCCTCCCTCTGTCCTGCTCCGTCGTCATCTACCCTACCCTCTACCTCTCCAATCCCCGAGATCACTTCGTTTCCAGCGTCGGCGATTACACCTTTAAGTCTCCAGAAACCCTAATTTTCCCTCTCATCTACACCATCGTCATCTATCTTCTCTCAACCTGTGCCCTAGCCACAATTACCCACAGCACATACCATGGTTTCTATGGTAGACCCGTGAATTTTTTCCCATCTCTCAAATCGATAATCTTCTCGTTCTTCCCTCTCGTTTTGATGACAATTGCAGCTAAGTTTTTCCTCTTTCTCATCTCGCTGAGTTTCTTTATGTTCGCTTTTGTAATTGTCAAGTTAGCGGAAAACCTAGGGTTTACAGTCGACTACAATTCGAGTAATTTCCTATGGTTTTGCGCTTTTCTCGCTGGAGCTTTGGGTCTGGTTATGCTTTATTTCCAAGTGATTTGGGGATTGGCTCCTGTGATTGCTGTCACCGAATCGAAATGGGGATTTGAGCCGTTGTGGAGAAGCTCGTATTTGGTGAACGGGATGAAGTCTGTTTCGTTGTCATTGATCCTTGTTTTTGGGGTTTTAATCGGGGTTTGGGTGTGGATGGCTACGAACAGTGTGTTGGGTTTTGCCATTGTTGAAGATTGGAAGAGTTGGGATTTCGTGTTGCAGACGATTATCAGTTCTAGTTTCTTAAGCTTTTTGACAATATTTTTGCTTCACTATACCGCTGCAAATACTGTGTTGTATATGTATTGTAAGGCTTTACATGGTGAATTAGCGATTGAAATTGCTGAGGAGTTTGCTCGTGAGTATATTAGTCTTCCCTTTGATGAAGACAAGATTCCTCATATTGTTACTGTTATCTCAGTTTGATGATTGAGGTTAGTGTGCTCTTTCTCAAAGCTTGTTACAGGGTTATTGTTATGGTTTATGTAATATATTTATTTGATGTCTGTGTATAAAAATCTTTAAATGTTGTATAATTGATATGAGTGTGTGATGAATCTGTCGGATAATCTTTTGATATACCCTAAAAATTTGTCCTCAATATCAAACTATGTTATGGGATTCTTAAAAAACATTATATTAGAATATTTTACGTTCCCAAAAAACCGTTAATTTCCAATTCACAAAATTTTGTGGTTTGCAACTAAAATAATAAAGCTGTTTTTACCGAACCATTCTCACATCTTATGGTTCTTAAATCAATCGAGAGGCTTTATTAGAGCGATGGTGGGTTTTACGGTGTTCAGGAGGGTTACATTTTGTTACGTAAATCTGATATGGCCAAAAAAAAAAACTTCAACAAGAATTATGCAACACATTTGTCATATCTAGAGACTAGAGGTTCATTTGATCAGAAAAGGCATGTGTTACGGTGGCTCTAAACGGAATTGGGGTGATTCGTTAGCATGTTTGACCATAACATTCTTTACGAATTTTCCAAAGGTGTATTTGACAGGCATACTTTGGGATGTTTTTTCCCGTTATGGGAAAGTAGCTCATGTTTACATAGATTATAACCCCACGATTACAAAATTATTCAATTATTTTAAATAAGTTATTAAATAATAGAGTTTTGTTGCATTATATCACATAAAATGAGGAAATATTGATTTCTTTATATTATTTTAAATTCTCAAACAATATAGTCTACCCTTAAATCTTAATTTGTATTTTTTGTTTAAAAGATTACAATAATCTTTTATCATAATGACCGCATTTATTTTATTCTAATATGCAAAGTATTTTTTTTTAAGGAAAAACCGTAGAAATAACCCATGTATTTTACACCAATGCCTAAATAAACCCTTATATTTAGTTTATGTACAATTTAACCATTATTAATATCCTTTTATCCCATTTAATGTTTTATAACCGGTTGCCTGGCAACCGGTTACATACCCCAATGCTGCAAAATAATAATAATAATAATAATAAAGTAAAAATAAAAATTGATGTTGACGATTTTACCCTTGTTGCTGATTTGGGTTTTTAACACACCAAACAACCACCATAAATTGAACAATTACATGTTTTTGTCCAAAACAAACAAAACTGAACAGAAAAAAACATAAATTGAACCATCCATGTCATTCCAACCGTTGCCGTTTTGATGGTTCCCCTTAAACAAATTTGTGTTTCTAGGCACTTTAACCCACACTTCGCCATCTTCATTGACTTCATGTTCATGAACAACCTTGCTAAACTTTCTTGTTGGCTTGGGGTGGGCGGGTTCATGGTGAGAAGGATTCGAGGGTTTTATACGAACTCCACCGGTGAACGAAGAACTCTTGTGATTTTTGTACCCCGGATGAATCGGGGGTTCGTTGACAGTAGAATCATCAAGATACCCATCTTCTTCGTTGTTGTCTTCTTGATTAGACCAGTTGTTTGTGTATGAGGAATTGTGATTTGAAAACCTGGAATCGAAATCAGGAGTATGATTGGTGGAACTAGTTGCTAACGTTACTAGATTTTGAAGAGAAGAAGGTTTAAATTCCACGGTCGGATTCAAGTTTTGATGATCCGAAACAGGGGTTGCGTTGTTGATTTCCAGATTGGTCGAATTATTGTTACCCGGTTCGAAATTGGGTCCATTTGCCATGGCCTCCATGGCTTCAAAATAGAACCACGACGAGAAGAACCGACCACCAGGGGAACAACGACGCACGTTGCTTCTCGGTGCGGTGGCGCTGGCGAAGCTTCTCCATCTTGTGGCGGCACTGGGCGGAGGTCTTCAGCGGCGTTACATCCGTGCCATTCAAAGAAGGAACATATTCTTCCTCTTCAGACTCATCATTCGTGCCATTCAAACCGTCCATATACACTTCAACTAATTGATGGGAAGTTGAAAACATAGTTGTTGGTTACGGCTTCCTTAAACAATAAATGCAAACAACAAAATAAGAAGGGAAATAGGGGAACTCATGCGTTCGACGAACAGATTGAATGAAATAGATTTGGTGATTACCTTTTTTTCGTGAAGCTTCCCTTGATCCACGAAGCTTTTCGCTCCAGCCTGGTTCTTTTTTTCTTTTGTTCAGTATGTTCCGATGGCAGCCTACAAATGACGAAGGGTATTCCCATATAGTTATAATAACGTGTCTAGGGTTTACCGGTAAATTAGAGAAGATAGACGGTTTAGATATTAATAATGGTTAAATTGTACATAAAAAAATATAAGGGTTTATTTAGGCATTGGGGTAAAATACATAGGGTTTTACTATGGTTTTCCTTTTTTTAATATGTTTTTTTTATTAATTTGATTATACATGTAAAGTGATTTAATGGGTTATTAACGGAAGGTAGATCAAAATCTTTTTATCAAGATGAACACTATACTTAAAAAAACATTAAAACGTAAAAGAAAAAGAAGTTTAGGCGGCTAATATAGTGACATCGTGGAAAACAAAAATTATTCTTTTATTAATAGGAACTATTCTTTTATTAATATAGGAAGATAAGAATAAACAAGTTAAGGAGTTTGGTTTAGTAAGTTTCCTTAATTTTTAAGATTTGAATGTTTTCACTAGGAACAAACGTTGTTCTATTTGGATTCATTCAATCCTTTTGTTCGTATCTTTGGGGAAAATAATCCAACATAATCTATATGAAGTCATTCAACCAAAAGGACATGCCTGACAATGATCAATTGATCATGATCAAAATACTCATAAAGCGTATGGAGTTATGGGAAATCTTATGCAAACATTCCAAAAGAGGATGGTCGTTTATTATCAACATAATTGGATGTGTCGTCGTCTCATCATCATCATTGTTGAAAGTAAAATTAAAGAAGCTTTTTTTTTTATTGTGCGGATCTTAGTGAGTGAGATGAAAAATTTTCATTCCTTGTCTAATATTGCACTTTTGTGTCATGATGGAGTTTTTTAAGATGTTAAGGTGAGCTACATAGGAGGTTTTGGAATCCTTTTTAATTTTTCCTCGGTTGAACCCCATGATATAATTTTTATCATCCAATTACTATAAGGGAGTGGTTTTTGAACCTTCAACCATGGGAATAGATCGATCTTGTCTACTTTTTCCATTCGCCCTTATGCTCCCATAACAGGAATATACCATAAGAAGGGTAGGCTAATGGATGTAGAATACAAAGAAAGCATCGATGCCTACTACCTTGGGAGTTGACTTTTGGGCACTCTATACCGGCACCAGATGTTCGATGTTGATTAAATGAATAAAATTTACTATAATAGTTGATAAAAAGTTAAAAAGCGACGAGCATGTGATGAGTTCAATATGATCTCTGTTAAAAGGTATGAATAAACACATGACTATATATACATGATAGAGCTAAATTTGGTAGGTACGATTAAATTCGAAAAATTTAAATTAATACTAACAAATTCAAGAAATTTACCAACTAAATAAATTGGAAAAAATAAACCCAAGAAATGACATATTTTGTGATTAAAACATAATCACACAAATTACAGAAATAAATCAAAATCGAAGGAAATGGCAAATTGGAGTCTTAAACCAGAGGAATTTGAGGATTGAGAGCTTTGTGATGATGCATCATGACCCTTCAAATTTCCAACGGATCAAAAGTTATGCTGATATTAAGTTGGGTTTGTTTTGGCTAGTTTGTTTGTTTGTTTTTTTTTTTTTTTTTTTTTTCTTTCACTTATCTATAAAGGCATCTGGAAGATTATGTATATGCTCCAAATCGGCAAATCCATAAGTAAATGATGTATTCATTTACTTGTTCGATTCGCCTTTTATCTTTATTTATAACACATATGACCAAACAAACCCGAAAAATTGGTTTTCTGAGGGTTTATTTAAAAAAAAAAATTGGCTTAGGTTTTTCGCTTTAAGTAGATTTTATTGTTTTATGCACAACCCTATTAAACAAAAATTAATCTTTAATCAACAAAATGTCTAGTAAACACGGAATTTTTTAACTTTACAGGAAAACATCATATTCCAATGGCCCCCCTTGTTTATTGTTTTAAGTAATAAAGTAGGTTTAGTTATCTTATAGCATCAAAATCATAAAATAGTCTTCGAATTTTATATTAAATCAAACCAATTGGTTTTCTCTAAAAACATGAAGTAAAAATGTTATTCAAATTCCCACTCTTTCCCTACCTTAAACTAAATACTAATATGTTTAATCTAACATATATTTTATAAATAAAATTTATGACTATTAAGACGAACTAAAAGTAAACTATCCATTTTGTAGAAATTTTGGAAATAAAAGTTGCTGTATAGTCCTTCACCAAACAAGCTTGCCAACCTGGCTGGATTGGCTCCCATTCCTTACCAAAAACATGCGGTCGTGGATAGATGCATGTGTTTAGTGATGTCCGGCAAATAATAACAAGGGGGTTTCTGTTTTGAATATGAGGAGGGCGGTTGTATAAATAATTATTATGTTGCATTCAAATATTTAATAATTGTAGCATGTATCGCGTTTAAAATTTTGGAATTGTTATAGGTCGAATATAACGATTTATAAGGGTAATATATTTTAGTTTGCACATATATTTGGTTACTATTTTTTTTTTACACATGATTTACTTTGCTTACAAAATATTATTATGAGCGGTTATTGTATGCATAGCCGGTTTTCGGTATCATTGGCAGCTCTGACGAAATCACGAGACTCGGGTCATCGTCTCCGATGAGTCTCCGGCCAACATGATTTTTCACAGTGGCGTAGTCATGTAAGTACAATGGTTGGTATTGGCCCACCCCACACATATTTGAAGTCTTATATGTAATATATAATCTTGTTACGTAAAAGGAAGTATGTTTTCATATGGTCCACCCCTTGAAATTATTACTACATACAACTAAATTATTACTACATACAACTGAAAGATTATGTTTATATTTGAATTTTGCTACAAGGATCCTCTATCTTGAGTTTATACTTATTATTTTTATGTTCATATTTAGGTTTTACTATTGGGCTTCTCTATCTTGAGCCTACACATACATATCTTTCAATTGTTTTGAATCTTAATAGCCTTTTGAGCTTCTCTATCTTGAGCCTACACATACATACCTTTCAATTGTTTTGAATCTTAATAGCCTTTTGAGGTTTCCTTTTTATTCATAAACCATCAAAGTTCTAAAAACAGTCCCTAAGTTTTTCTCCCCTATGCACAAATCACCCAATATTTATTTCTTTCAAAATTTTTGTGTGTTTTGAGAAGTTATATGTTTAACCCTTAAAGTTTCCTCAACTTTTTGTTTTCAAAAATATAGAAATGATTACCGCCTAAATGATGTCGGAAATATAGAATTAATATAAATTTTGTCACCATAAACTTTTATTGTTTCTATTATATCTTTAAAACTTTCAATATTTTAAATTGTCAGCAGCGAAGCACGAAAATTTATACTAGCTCCATACACTTTGCCGATTAAAGACTTGATATTGAATAGTTCGCCTCACTTCGTATTTCATTCCATTTTCCACTGATAATTCATTATTCATCAGGTTAGTTTTATTAATTTTTTTGTTCTATTATCTTAATTACTTAATTACTTGTTTTTATTTTCATTATAGACGATTTAGTCGACCTACTTCTTACCAATTTAGGTTTGCACTGATTTTATATTTTTATCGCATGTTTCTAATAAATTTGGTTATTACTTCTTGCTATGAATTATTTATTTGTATTATTGTATTATATGTATTATTGTACTACATATAAGTTTATTTTTTTTATAAGAATATAAGATTATGTTCGTAATTGAAATTTTTTATGATTACTGAATTTCGTTGAGCAATGGGTACAAAGCAAAAAAGATTAGATATCGCTAAACTTCTCAATTTAGACACCATTTTGGATGATTTTAATAATGTAAGAGATCATCGTTTGCAACTTAAATGAACAATTTACTTAGGATGTATATATTGTTCTATTTTGTTATCATTTGAAGGATTTTGCTACTAATTCATATTTTGTAGATTATTTGGCCTACCCTAAAACAAAATTCTGGCTACGCCACTATACACACAAGAAAGGTTTCGTTTCAAGAACACACACATCACACCCAAATTTCGATTTTCAGATAAAAACACACACATTAGATATAGGTTTTTGAAATCGTTCAGAGCATCTTATTCTTGTTTAAGTTCTAAAATCATGTGTTCTCTTAAGCCACTTGAACCATTGAGTGGCTCCAGCTAACCTATGATCTTGGACACAAGTCTACCTAAACTCGATTGTACCCATAAATCGTTTCAAAAGAGAGAAATAATGATGAGCATCAAAAATCATTTTCGTGTTATCTTCACTAGAAATCATGATTAACCCATAAATCGTGTTCATCTATGGCAAAAGCTCAATATGGGTGTGTGTATGTGTGTTCATCCATGGAAGAAGCTACACCTCGTGTTCATCTAACCAAACGGAATGACGTATTTTAGAGTAGTTTGTCATTTATTTTTAAAAATTAGGGTCATTTCTTTAAATTGACATTACATAAAGGTTAGTTTAATCAATAACCCTTATTATAAAGGAAGTATGTTTTCATATGGTCCACCGCTTGAAATTATTACTACATACAGCTGGAAGATTATGTTTATATTTGAATTTTGCTACTACGATCCTCTATCTTGAGCCTATA